TGCGACACGGATGTCTGAAGTATTGACTCTGGAGTTCATGTCGATCAAAACGCCACGAATGGTAGACTGGACCGAGTGGCAACTTGTAACGCTGCCTCACGTGTTGATTAGATTTGGTCGCTGGGAGGAGATTCTCGAGCTCCCGGAGCCGGTAGATCCGGTTTTACTCTGCGTCTACAAAGCGACAATCCATTATGCCAAAGGGATTGCTTTCGCAGTACTTGGGAGGATAGATGAGGCAAGCCAGGCAAGAGACGCTTTCGAAAAGACCCGTCAGTCCGTACCGGAGGACCGTATGTACAGTCCCTCCTCTCCAGCAGAACCCATTCTAGCTGTAGCGTCGGCCATGCTGGAGGGCGAGTTGGAGTATCGCAAGGGTAATCACTCTCAGGCATTCTCCGTCTTACGACACGGCATTGAGTTGGAGGATAACCTCGCCTACGCTGATCCGCCACTCTGGATGCAACCCGTTCGCCACGCTCTGAGCGCACTCCTTCTGGAGCAAGGCCAGTCTGAGGAAGCCGAACTGCTTTATCTAGAAGACTTGGGATACAGTGATAGCCAGCCTCGTCGGAAAGCGCGCATCAACAACGTTTGGGGACTACATGGTCTTTATGAATGTTTCATGCGGAATGGAAAGCAGGAAAAGGCCAAGAGCATACGCCTCCAGCGTGACATTGCCGTGGCTTCCGCTGACATTTCCATCGAGTCCTCATGTTTTTGTCGATTGTCAGCGTCAAGCAGTGAGCAAAGCTGTCATTCTACATAGATAGCAACTTGCCGGATCGGATGAGTGGAACACTGATGCTATTTCTGTTCCTTTCGTCGATAAATCTATGGCGTGGCGCTGTCAACATCAAACTTCGGTTCTCAATCGCTTGGCATGCGTGAAACATATGCAAATACTGCTCTACGATGTTTATGATCACGACGTAAGACTTCATGCAGAGTTGATGGCACAGATGAATAACACTGGGTAGCATTCCAGTAGGCTTTCTTTATAGTGATTGAATCCGACACCGTCATCCATCTTCGACAATCACTTTCCGTCCAAGAACTGCAGCTCCTCGGCTGTAGAAGTGCGACCCAACACCTCGTTCCGCTGCGGGAAGCGCCCAAACCGACGAAGTGCGTCCAGCTTGCTTTCACAGATGCTAGTAATAACACCCTTCAGCTTCCCAAAATCGCTCCTTCGTTTGAGAAGCACGTCGCGGTACTGGGCGAATTTACCGTCCCATCCCTCGACATCCCTCTCTAACAGCCTCTCATAGTCACGGAACATGTCAAAGTGTGCTTTGTGTAACGATTCTGCTACTGCCAGGCTCTCGCAATGTTCCATCGGCATGTAAAACCAGAATCTGTATGCCAGTCGGAAGCGAACTTCTGAATCCATGGGGGCACCGGAGTCAATCGCTTTGGAAGCCACTTCCAAAGCCAGACTGTCGAAAACGGTGAAGGCTACACGAGCTTGAGCACCTCGGAAGCAGTTTCTTGGGAGTTGGTCAAGCAATATGATCAGACTGATCCAGTGCATAGGCTTGCATGGCTTTGCTGCTGCTATGATTTCCGCTCCGTTTGGTTCTACGACCTGAATGAGTTCGAGCAATGCGCCAAATTTATCCCTGTGGCTAAGTAAGCTTTTGTTCGCGGGAAAGTATCTAGGATAAGCTGAGTACTTACATGCATTCCTGGTCGTAAGCATCATTCTGTGAGAACCATGGCGCCGAGTCCTCGATGCTAGGGCTGATGATGTGGTCGTGGTCTTGGAGATGACGAAACCAAAAGGCTGAGATCTCATCCAGTTTAGCGTGCGACAGGTCGTTTTCGAGAGATAGCTGCGACATGGCTTCAGAGTGATGGCTGCAAGAGTTGTGAAGTAGCTTGGTCGTATGAAGATGTGTGGGGTGGGAAGGCAATCCGGGTATTCTCAACACAGACACGTACTTTACTCAGTCCATGACCTATTGCACGACGCGTGATGCCAAGCTGATATGTCAACACAGTTCGACTACATTCGTCCGCTGCCGTAGAACTCGTCCGAAATTGCAAGAGGTCGTCTTGGCTTCTATCGGTGTTCGCTGCGGACTTAACCATCTTTCAAGGTCATGTTTAGATCTGGTCGGCCCGTTTACCGGCACCGCTAAGACGAACGTACTTCCGTTCCGTACTGCTAACTGGGTACGCTACATTACCGTTTCTGGAGTCTGTCGACAGATTTGGTAACACTAGACTTGCGACTACGGGTGTTGCCGTCCCCGACTTCGTAAGCAGACTGTCCCAAAGTCGACTTGTTGACTTTCAAACTCTACTCCACGACCAGAGACCCCGGATTTACCACCAGAGTACGAAATACTACATCACGCGCGGTTCATCGAATGAGCCACGCTCGTATCATAAGTAATCGCGATCCACTGCGTTTGCTGGGCATTGGTCAAGGCCTGCGCGAACGAGGAGAAAGTTCGTCCGCCTCATCGACGCAAGACGCGAGACGAAGAGTAGCATGAAAGTCTGTTGGAGAAAGTGGCTACGCGTACAGAGCGATAGCTCAGTATATAGATCGTTGCAATGATATCCTTTGTGTCCATCACATCTCTTCTCAATCTCCTGCTTGTGCCACCAATCTCGATCAGCTTTCTCGTTCAAACACCTCAAACACAATGCTAGCAACCCGAGCATTTTCAGCTCTGGTGGTGGGCTTCCTGTCATCCAGCTCGTTGGCTTTGCGAACACGTCAGTCCGAGGTACCTACAGACCTTGTACAGCGTGGTCTCGCAGCCATTGGCATCAACTCCAACACGTCCGATGTGCGCAATGTGAGGATCAGTGGCTCTCAATTCCGCACCAAGTCTATCGTCACAACGATAGCCCTGGATGGCATGGACCAAACAGTCGTCCCATATGGTAGCCAGACGATCACGTATTCGTACGAGACAGGCAGTCTGAAGCAGCGCATTGACAAGGTTTCTGGCTTAGGGAGTAGGTCTTCTCTCTTGATACCGTTTGATGGGAAGCTGACTTTGAGATCCTAGCTCTTTGGATGTTTGCCCGACCTGAACTCGAACCTATGGACTACTCTGTAGTAGTACAAGGTGGTGATGACGCGTTTGCTGCTGTGGTCAGGGGAAGCTATGCGCTTTTTGACCCGACGGCTGCTCCAGAAGGCTACTTGGATGGTACTACGTCCACTGAGATATTTGTATCAAAGTCTGACGATCAACAGGATATCTCGCGGCGTATATGATCTCCGATGGTCAAAAGTGGGATCCGTTGCTGCTCAGCAAGATATCTGCAAATGATTCCACCCTCCGTTTCGAGCCGGTGGAAGGAGACTTACTACTTCCAGCAGGTTGGTCATCACCTACTTTGCTTTTCACAACCTTTCTAACTCGGCCGTTAGTGTTTGACCAAGCACTGAACATGTCAATCATCTTCAACCCCGACACTTACCTACCCTTCGCTATCCGCACATACGAAGACCATCCCTTTTTCGGTCCTTCGACGAACGATCTCCGAGTATACGACTTTATCTCGGTTAACGGCCTCATGATACCCCGTCATTACAAGACCATATACAACAACCAGCGCTTATGCATCGACTTCCTTGCAGATGACATATCGGTCAACACTGAAGTCGAGCCATCGTTCTTCGATGTCTCCGTCGAACGCGGCGAACTGAGCATTCCCGTTGTTGACCCCGCCCTGACTGCTGAGATCGGTGAGAAGTACACGAATTACATCTGGTTCGGTCGGAACAACTTCACAGTCGAGTCGCTCAGTGGATCGCAACCGTACGCAGATCTACCCGGCGTTTGGGTCGTCCGACCACCTGGTGTATCCGCGTACCGCCAGATCCTGCTTGAAACTGACACCTATGTTGCTGTTCTGGATGCTCCTGCTGAGATCGTGGCGGTCTTGCTCGAATGGGTCGAAATCAACATTGGAAAGCCAGTGTCGCAGGTGTGGGTAAGTCAGCGATCTCAATACGCCTAATTGCTACTCTGATGAGCTTTGCTAACATTGCACAGCCTACGCATCATCATCACGACCACGCTTTCGGTGTCAAAGGCTACGTCGAGAATGGAGCGGAGGTCGTCTGTCCTAAGATGGCTCAGTCGTACTACGCCGACATCCCCGGCGCCACGTTCGAAACCTTTGAGTACGTTGTCATCTATGCTTCCCACCAGGCCAAGCGCTAATTTACTCTAGACGCGGAGCGCCACACATCATGGAGACCAACAGTTTCAGGGCCACGTTCATCCACATTGAAGGCAGCATCCATGCCCAAGACCATAGTGTCGCCGTCATCATGCCTGCTTGTCCCACCGAGGACAGCACAGTCGTTGTGTTTGATGCCGATCATGTCATCCAGGCGCAGTTGATGGCAACACACAACGACCACAATGAGATTGCTCAACTGGTTAACGCTATGGTGAAGCACCGGGTAGCGAAGTCAGCGGTGTAAGTTCCCGAGCTACGCTTTCGAAACATGGTCACTAATTATCGCTACGCAGTCTAGTCCCTGTTCACGGTGACTTGGCCAACATGACTGATGTCTATGACGGGATTGGTTACTTGTTTCCCGACTATACGCCATTTGACTTTGAGTACCGCGGCGACAATTGTACCGTTTGATGAGGAAAGCGAGGAAGGCGACTGCGACTACCTTGCAACATCGCTTTCTTTGCCTGTGCAATCAGCTGTGCGAGTAGCTACGTCGCATAGTGCAGCAATGGAAGGTCATGTCGAGAAGGTGTCGCCTCTGAACAAACGGGGTGGTTGTATTGTTTGAGTCTGGGTCATTACTACCGAGAGGGGTAGTCTCTGAGACTAAGTGAGATGACGCCTTGATACTTGGAATTTGTCGTGGTGAGATATCCGCATGGAAGCATGAGCAATGGAGGATTGACGTGCCAGGTGTTCGATGGCTACTCAAGCACATTTTCAGATCATACTCCGTGGCACTTCGCATGTAGTTCGGTGCTCTCGTGATATGTCTTATCTCAATCTTCCAGTCTTGGATCCTTTCTATTCCTCTCGCTCATTCTTTCACTCATATGTGTGATCTCTTCAGCCGCATTGCTCTCAATCTTCTGCGATCTTTGATCCAACTATAGATGCGTCAGCAACGGACTGCGATAAAGTTATCAGAATACTCACCCAATGAACGGCCGCAGTCACGCCAAAGAAAGCAAAGACAACAACAATCATCGCGATATATCCTTTCTTCCAATACGGCGCATCGCTCGCTGGATAGAGTGCAATGCCCCAGAAAGTGTACAATACCGACTGCACCATACTCATGATGTAAAGTGTGATCGACCGGGAGGCATCGTCGCCACCGCGTTGAGAGATCACGCTAGCCCATCCGTAGAGAATGGGGTTAACGATGTACGAGGTACCCGCCAGGTAGAACGCGAAGAACGTACCAGCTGTCGAAAGGTTGGGTATTAGTAAGAGGACTGAGACCAGAAGCTGCAGAGCGCCAGCTAGTATAACCATCGGTATGCGACGATTGGTCATGTCGATAACGTAGCCCGCTCCGACGTTGGAGACAATTGACACAGCCTGTATACCTAACGGGTAGGTCGTAGTCGCATACGAAGAGAACTTATCGGCGTTCGCTTTCATCCAAAGCAAGAACAGCCCTTGCAGAACGATGGCTTCCAATGCGCAGGCTACTACTGAGTAGAGAGTAAAGATGTAAATGTCCGGTTTGGCTAACAGTCTCTTAACAAGGGATTTGAGACTGATGTCATGGCTCCAATCTTTCTTCGGTGGCAGGCGACCTATTGCTAGCTGAATTTCCTCTTTGCTGAGATAGGGGGCATCTGTAGACTCCGGCAAGTTGGGGAAGAACATGAGTCCGAAGATGCCGAAGGGGATTCCCATTGCACCGTCTGAAAGCGATTAGTGGCGATGGTCTACCTCAAGAAGTGGACGTACTGATAATGAACACCCATTGCCATCCTTGAAGCGAAGTCTGTCCATGCAGACTCTCGTTCATCGCAGTCATCATCACACCAGCGAACATGCTGCCAATCTGCCCAATAGCCGTAAAGATGGCTGTACGTTTGGCAATTTCCAAGGGCTTATACCAGCTACCAAGGATATAGATAGTGCCGCTATAGAGACTTGATTCGAAGAAGCCCTGGAAGAACCGAACTACGCATAGCTGGGTGTAGGTCTTGCATGCCGCAGAGCACATCGTTAGGCCGGACCACACTAGCAGTGTGAAGGGCAGCCAGAACCGGGGCGCGACTTTCTGAAGGATGAGGGCATGAGGTATCTGACCAACACAGCTACCTGCAGTGAACATGGCAAGCAGAATGCTGTATTGGTCGCCCTCGAGTCCGAGAGACTCCTTCAATCCGGACACGTAGGCATTGGCGAAAGCGCTGCGATCAAGGTAATTGAAGAAGTATGCAGCGCAGCAATACACCTGGAACATCATTAACCGCCGTCATGTCAAGAGCATTTTGTCCCCACCAGTATGAAGCAATCTGCGGTTGGTTAGATGCGCAACGTTGGGATCTGACGGGTCGTTCCGACGTACCGAGCTTGCGAACCAGTCGCCTTTCGAGATCTACCATGTTGTCTAAGCGTGTGTAACCAGACCGATCATGGTGAGAGCGAAGCATAGCTATTGCATTCATCTGAACTCATGCAGGGACGGCGCGATGTGGAGGTCATGGTGACGGTACCTTGCTGGCCACAAACGAGCCAATCACATGCCCGATTTTGCTAAGCATGAGCAAGTTTCCGTTATCGTAAGAGAGGGTCCTGCAGCAGCCAAGTCGCAAAATCTCGGGGGCGACTATCGTGACCCGTCGACCACGCTTGCCTGGAATAGACACAGGGTCCTTAGCCTTGTTGTGGCGAAACTACGGGGCGGAGTCTGGCGACGGCTACCTTCACGTGCGCGATTCTTAGGCACCACAACCACGACAATGCGCACAGACTCCACGGCCCGATATGAGGCTATGGGAGAGTCGCACTCACCAGATCTCACTGAGGAACCAAGATCTACATCAACTCTTCGCATCACTAGCCCAAGCCAAACCCAAGCCCCGGTCTGAATCAAAGGCGCATTCTTTTCGTTGACCACGACCCCGTCTCTAAGATTTACCAAACGCTCTTGCTCTACACCAACCACTCAGGTAGCCACATCGCGAGACCACCTTCAACATGACCACCTTCAACACGACCACCTTCAATATGGTCACCACTCCACACATCGTCGCCCCCACAGCCCCCCACACCCACACCATCATCTTCCTCCACGGCCGCGGCAGCGACGCCAAAACCTTCTGCTCGGAGCTCTTCGAAAGCGAAGACACTTCCGTGCGAAAGTTCACCGACATCTTCCCCAGTATAAAATGGGTCTTCCCCAACGCACCATCATCCTGCGCAGTTAGCGAGCGAGAAGTAATACCGCAATGGTTCGACATGACATCCGTGCAACGGCCCGATCAAGACGCCGAGTCACAGAAAGAAGAGCTATGGCAGAGCGTCGCGCAGATTCTAGAAGTCCTTGAGGAAGAGATGAAGCCCGTGGGATTGCGCAATGTGATTATAGCGGGGATGAGTCAGGGGTGCGCTATTGGTATCTTTACTTTGGTCACTTCTGGTATCCGTGTTGGAGGGTTCATGGGGCTGTGTGGATGGTTGCCGTTGGCGGAGGAGCTGTCTACCCTGATGGGGGTGCCTGGACGAGAGCGGGGCGTGTTTGAGATGCCGTTGCTTTTGCAGCATTGCAAGGACGACGAGGTTGTGCCTGTTAGGAATGGGGAGAAGCTTAGGAAGAAACTTGAGGAGTGGGGTGGGGTCGTGGATTGGAAGTGCTTTGGGGAGGGTGGGCATTGGCTTAATGAGCCGAAGGGTATGGATGGGTTGGTGGAGTTCATTCAGAAGGTTATGAGGGTTTCGCCGATCCCTATACCTGTTAAAGACGAGGATAAGAAAGAGGCGAAACCGAAGAGCAGAGATTGGTAGAGCGGTGGAGACGTCTAGGAGGCAAGTGTTGGATGCCCCCCTATGGGGGGTGCACGGCTAAGGGAGGACTTCACTGTAATCATTGTTTCATATGCATATATGGCTTGAATAGACCTTGGAATGGAGATTGCACGCCTACAATCTCTTCCTCGGTGCCTTGCCCTCCATCGTATTCATCGTCCTGCATCTACCCTCCACACATCCAGAGAAGCTGTCTACAGCAAAGTCTTCCCACTCCTCAAAGCCTCCAAATCACCCACGGTAAACCTCACATACCGATCCTCACCCGGCTTCATCCACATAACCACGTCATCACCACCACCCACAACCTTAGTGCCAAACTTATCAATCTCCATGCCTTCCGCCCGCAGCGGCGCTTTGTTCTGCTTCTGATTATCCGTATTACTTGCTTCTTTAACCAAGCGCAAGAAGACCGGTACTGCGTATCTCGGTAGTTTACTCCTCGAGTACTCCAATAGCGCTTTCCAGTCGAACGTCTCGGGGCTGACGCCATCGGCAAGTCGGAGAGCTACGCAGCCCGCGCGACCGTCATGGCCAGGGACAAGTGTACCGTACACGATGGCCTCACCTACACCGGGGTACTGTCCGAGAACCTCTGCTACCTCAGCTGTAGATACGTTCTCGCTCTTCCATCGGAATGTATCGCCTAGTCGGTCAAGGAAGAACCAGCGCCCATCGTCATCACGCCTTAGCGCATCACCAGATCGGTAGAACAGATCGCCCTTTTTGAATACGTTCCTCTCGAACTTCTTTGCCGTAGCCTTGGGATTGTTATGGTATCCAGCGAACGCTTCTTCACCCGGTACAGCGACCAAGATCTCGCCACCCTCGTTATACGAATTGCGCTTCACGAACCCAGTCTTGGGGTCTCGGAGTAGTTCTCCAGTTTCCGGGTCGATGGGAACAGGAATGTATACGTCGTGAAGAAGTCGTCTGATGATAGCACCGTGCTGTGCTACTGTCGTCGCAGTGAAGGGACCTTTGCTGTGAACCACCATGCCCAGAACGCCTTCTGTCGAGTTGAAGAATTCTATTACTTCAGGGACGTTGAAGCGCTCTTTGAATCGGTTCCAGACATCAGGTCGCATGCCGTTGCCGTACATGGCGCGTAATCGGTGGTCTCGCTCCCGTGGATGTGGTGGTGCCATAAGCAGATATCGCGCTGCTTCGCCGACGTAAACGAAAAGGGTAGACTGGGAGTCGTGGATGTCGTCCCAGAATGTGCTAACGGAGAACTTTCGTCCTATCGCCACGCTCACTCCGCCTGATAGCGCTGATAGCACCGATAGACCACCTGTACCATGGAAAAGCGGCATGCAGCAGTACCATCGGTCTCCATTAGGTCCGGCTTTCTGGTCAAAGGCAAGGGTTTGCGGATTTCCTCGTTCGTGGAAACGGTTTACCATGAACTTCCCTCCCTTCGGTAGACCCGTCGTTCCTGATGTGTACAAGAGACATGTCGGATCGGAACCCTTGACGTTCTCTCTGTACTGATCGCCGGGTACTTGAGTGCTGTGCTGCTGAACCTTGCTAATCAGGTCTCGATCGACCCTGAAAGCTGTAACGCCCATCTCTTCCACGTTTGTCCTCACGCCCTCGAACCGTTCTTGGCATCCCTCTTCTTCGTCAACAAGCACGACTTTCACATCCGCGACTTTGAGACAATGCACCAGTCCTTCTCCTTTGAGGTTGTAGTTAAGGTGGGCAGGCGCGGCACCGATGGAAAATAGACCCAACCAGATAACCATGAAGTCTGCGCTGTTCATCATGTAAGTAGCAACCATATCGCCCGGCTTTACGCCTTGAGAGAGAAAGAAGTGTCCCCATTGGACGGCGCCATCGTGAACTTGTTGCCATGTGTACGTTTTCTCCCGCGACCAGATGGCTAGGTTGTTGCTGTAAAGTGGAACGTGGGTCGCGAAAGCGTACCAAGGGGATAGCCTCTTAGTTTTCTCTGTGTTGACTTAGCTCCGAATTGCGTCTCAACGTAAGTAAAGGTATCGCTGGGGCTACATACCGAGTTGCTCATAGTAGCTAGCTGCGTTCTTCTTGAACCTCAGTCCTCTCAGGTCCTGTGCAATGTGGTATTTCGCGTTGATGTAGGCTGCTAGCCCGGAAATAGCTGCTACAGATGCAGCAGCCGCTGTTGCATCCATCTTGACTGATCTCGGTCTCGGATTCCTCTTTCGGGTAAATGTTGGACGTGGGTGTGAGAGAGGCACTGGGAGTGAAAAGCTTCAATTCAAGGAGGAAACGCAATGGCCCGGTGTGATCGTCTTCCACAGTTGCCGTTTGTCGGTCCTACTGCTAGCTGAGTCCGGAGCTAATAAGATACCGAGGTCGAGTCAGTTTAGTGGGTCTTGCGAGACGCGTAGTGAGTGCGGGGGTGACCTAGCGCGTCGGACATTTGTACAGCGATTGCTTGTCTTTCGGGGAAAGCTTTGCGAGGCGTGGAGCGAGGTTTGACTTATGACGGTGTGTTTGCTGTGGCAGAAGCTTGTGGCTGAGATGGCTACAGATTACGGTCAATGTACCGACGATAACCACGACTATATCAGAATGCGGCCACCCTTGCATACGGATGACAGCTATATTTCCTTTCTTATCTGAGAAATGTATATGCTGACCTATGGGTGTCATTCGACGCAGCTATACAACGGCTCGAAATCTCTCGATCGCAAAACGCGTCTTCCCAATGTCTTGAACATAAACTTGGCACAACACGGCCATTGTCTTATTTGACTGCCTTCTTCTCCTTCTTGCCAATGTTCTCCGTGCCCGGTGGCACCTTGAGTCCTCCAAACACCAATGCGCCGACTCCGACCATGCCGGCAGCTCCGGTCGCATATGCCGTCTCGCGGCCCGCCCACCAGTAGAGGGTGCAGAAGATGAGGGGTCCGAGGGAACGTCCGATTTGACCTGATATACGTTAGTAGATGTTCCGATGGAGATGGGAGTCTTGGCTTACCGAAGCTCCGATGGTTGCCCAGCTTGTTGCCTCGCTCATCAGCGCTCGCCTCGAACGACGAGAGACTGTTGAGGCCGGTAACGACCGTCGCGCTTGTTACGGCAAGAAGGGCAGCGGCCCCGTATAGTGCGCCCTGCGTCTGGACCCTTCCGAGCATGAGGAAGGCGATGGTGCAGCTTACCACTCCCATTTGGACCACCTTGAGAGGGTGCATCCGCCGCACCACAGATCCTTGGAGGAGGGACGCGACCAGTCCAATGAAACCGAGCAGTCGGCCAGAGTCCTTAGCCTGGTAAGAGAAGAGGTCGTATGTCATGAAGGGTAGCGAGAACTCCATGCCGCTGAAGAATAGGATGAAAGTGAAGTGCGTAGCGTTGAGTAGGAAGTGCGAGTTCGTTCGGCCGCGAGGTTTTGGTGCTTCGCTGCCTTTCGCATGCCCGTTCGTGGTGCCGTTCTCAGCCTTGCTCGCCGATGGTAGCGTCTCTGGGAGGCTGATGTAGAGGTAGATGGTCTCTGAGACGATCAAGAACAGAGAGAAGCCCGCCGCCATGGCGAACGGGTTCTTGTCCATGACCTGCAGGGTGGATAGGTATGCGCCCAGCGCTGGCCCGAAGGTGAAGGCGATGCTGAAGCATACGCCCACAAGCGCCATGGTCGAGCCTCTCTGACTGTCGTCGCTGATGTCGGTCGCGATGGCCATGGCAAGCTGCACGTTGCCCTCGCTCAGTCCTCCCACCACGCGACTGGCAAGGAAAGTGCGGAAGTCGGTCGCTGCGACCCAGAGCGCAACGCTGAAGATGTTGCCCACCATAGACCACAGAAGAGCTGTGCGCCTGCCATATTTGTCTGAAAGTGTTCCGATAAAAGGAGACGCGACTGCCTGGCACAGCGAGAAGAGCGATCCGAGTGCGCCGCCGAGCAGGACTATGTCGTAGCGGGAGTTGATGGGTTTCGCGAACGAGTTCTTGTACGCATTGAGGCCGGCGAGGATCTTGGAGAGAATCGTGTTCGGGTCTCCGGTTTCATGGTTACGGTAGAACTCGATGAGTTTGGGGAATAGCGGGAGGATGAATGTAAATGATATCTGTCAGGGTCAGCCCACGCGAGCGGTTACACGCGACGGGGATGACGTACCAAGTCTAGCAGCAGCGAGATGAACAGCACCTTCAACACCCTCTTCCGCAGTGCCGGCGGTACCGGAGTCGTGTCTGAGCCCATGTCGAAGATGTGCGATGGTTATCCAGCCCAGTCGCAAGAACCCCGAAGCAGCGAATGGAGATGTGGACACAAGTAATCGGCGGCAGCTGTCTGGTTAAAAGCAGCGCAGCGAACGAATAGAGGGGAAGGGTCTAGTTCAGCTTGGACTGCAGACCCTCATCTAATGATACACTAGAAATAGAACAAGTCGCGAGTTGTGGTCATTGGTGGCAAGCGCCGAAGTGTATTCGGGTCATGACGAAGTTTGGCCGTACGCGGGTGGCTCTGTTCGTGAAACAGGTGGAACAGGTGGGCACGAACCACATACTTGAAACACCACAAGAAAGTATCTGAGGCAGCCACGGCACCCATGCCCACATGGACAGAGTCATTGTATTGGTCTGCTGCGAAAAGGAGATGTGGCTTCTGTGAGCGCGCCATGGCTTGAGCAAGTATCGCAGGCGCGGATGCGACGCTCGAGTAGACAAGCCGAGGCAATGTGGAGCTTCACGCCGATCATCCATCCCCAGCATCACCCGACTAAGCCGATAGCGTACGTGTAGACGGCGAGCATTCCGACATTCCAAATGGTCTACCAAAGATACTCGTAACATTCTACATTGTTCCAGGCTCACGATGGGCAATCCGGAGGCAGATCGGCTAAAGGCAATGGCAGCCGTACAGGCCATGTTCGAGAAGTACAAGCTACTTGCAGCTCGTAGGCCAAAGCACCACGTGGTATGGAAACATCAACACCATTCAAGAAGCTACTATTAACCATGGCCAGGACTTTGACCGCGAAGTCATGCTGAAT